GAACATTTTAATTGAAAGCTTTATTTACTGTAACCCAGATAAGAGACGATGACCCAGTAAGATAATTAGTGGAGCTACCAAAAAGATGTTTTTGGATTGGCAATACTGTATGAAAAACAGATCCATATTCTTGAATACATCTTCCAAGTTATCCTTTAAAGTTATCCTTTAAAGTTATTCTTTAAAGTTATCCTTTAAAGTTATCCTTGACATGTTTTGGATTTGTACTGAGACACTCCTGACAAATCTCACTTCTCTAGTAAAGTCAACTACTCAAAAAAAAAAGTTAAACAAACAGTAATTCATAAAGGTAGCACAACAATGAGCTGCACCAAGTTCCAGCCTACAACTCCCAGTGTCACCGCATACAAGTCAAAACCATCTCACCCAGACCAAAGTAATCGAGCAAAACGCGTCTCAGGCCTGTGAGTGGAGCACTGATCAAAACCACTGAGCAAAAATGGCGGATGACAAGGTGAGTGAGTTCCTGTGCTCTGGCTTTAAATGTATTTATTTCACGTGTTTCGTCAGATGACATCAACTCTAAAACTGAGTTACCGGGGCGGTGGTCGCTTCTAAATTAAATGAATTCCTCCTCGGGCTGTGTTGAGTTGTGTTGCTGTTTGATAACCAGCAAACTTCGAGAAAAGTCGCTGTTTTTGTCAGAGAAGCTCTTCGTGTGAAGTTCTGGCAGTAACTAAACTCTAGGCCATGTTGTACAGCAACCTTAGTCGGAGTTGTCCAACTGTGTCCTAATACAAGTGCTGTACATTTTAAATTGTATTTTAGGATCCTCTGAAGCAATTAAAAGATTTGACGAAGCTCAAAAATCAATTGGAGGAAATCCAGAGGCGAGTGGAGAACGAAGTGTCTGTGGGAATCCCTCAGGTAAGTGGTTTCATGTTTGGTGAATGTATTTCTAATATATATATATATATAGAAATGGAGGAACATTTGCCCTTTAATTTACCTGTTGTATTATTGACATTCTCCTCACTGATGGTAATAAAATACTAGGAATAAGTATCTCAGTATACCCATTCTTACTTCTTTTGCCTTTAGTTTAGTGATAATTTAGTGTTATATTGTTGATAATATGATGGTTTATGGTGATAACCTTACTTGTACTATAAATGTGTTTACTCATTATTGATGATTTACTATCATGTATGTCATTTTTATGTGCTCTGACCAAGCTTAAAAAACCTTGCTATTATTATTATTATTATTATTATTATTATTATTTTTCTCTTGCATAGGGAGGCTCAGTGTTGGGATCTCCGTTTCTGAAGGGCTTTCTGGCCGGCTATGTGGTGGCCAAACTACGCTCCTCTGCCATCCTGGGAGTGCTGCTGGGAACAATCACTGGCATGTACGCGGCACAGAACTACCAGGTGCCCAACATTGAAAGGACCGTGAAAGAGTACATAAACAGCTCGAGAAAAGGACCAAAGTAATTTGGGCTCTTGCCGGTGAAATAAGGGGCACAAGATAAAGAAACGCTGTTTACGGCTGCTGGCCTGTCAGTGGCTCGTGACGGATCGGCCTTCAAGATTTGTGTGTAGACTGGACTATGGATATAATTATATAACTGGAATTTCAATTGGGACTCAAAGTAAAAGACTGCATTTTTTTTTTAATTAGCTTTTTTGTTTTAGTTGAATACTTCTCTGTTTCATTTCCACTTGTATCTGTTTGATGTTCACACGAGATGTAAGCCTTTGTGCCTACAAGGTTTTAATGTTTGGTCCATCAGATTTCATCATTTTTGCTGCCTGGAGCAGTTATCTAAGCCTGTTAGATCATGTGTAAAACAGGCAGTTTTACCTGTTTACTGCAATACATATAAAGATATATACAGAGAATAGTGCATGTAAGTATTTTATAGTTGATATTTAAATTGTTGAGATTTATAGCTGTTTAATTTAAAAAACAGCCACAAAGTGAGGTTTCTTTTGCACTATAGTTAGTACTAGATTTGTAAGAAATTAAGTGTTTTATTTTTCATCAGTCAGGATGATTGTGATCCAGAATGTGGGTCCCAGTTCCCCGGCAAGGATTAGGAGACAGTGGGTGAAAAGGATTCAGTGGGGTGTCCTTTTTGGGCTGATGGTCCTCATTTACGGCTCTCATGCGCCACTCATCGCTCTCACCAAAGTAGACGGTCAAGTCCCTTTCAATCCCTCATCATGTGTTGTTATGATTGAGCTAGCTAAACTCCTGATTTCTCTGGCGACCCTTGTTCTAACTGGGGGTACATCCGCCTTAAATGCTCCTCCACCTCTAGTCCTTGTGGCCCCCTATGCGGTCCCTGCCATACTCTACGCTCTCAACAACAACCTGGTAGTCCTCATGCAGGCCTACATGGACCCAAGCTCGTACCAGGTCCTCTCTAACCTAAAAATTGCCTCCACTGCCCTGTTGTACTCCTCCTGCTTGGGCAAGAGGCTCCGGCCTGCTCAGTGGCTAGCTCTGGGGCTCCTCATGTGCGCAGGGGTGTGCCACACCTACAGCAGCCTGGATCTAGAGGACCCTGAAAGGGCTGAAGCTAAGGGAGCTCCCAGGCTTCATATAACAGTTTGGGGGCTTTTCCTTGTGCTGGTGTACTGCTGTGTTTCAGGCCTGGCAGCAGTTTACACAGAGAGGGTGCTAAAGAGCCAGAGGCTGCCGCTTAGCTTGCAGAATCTCTACCTCTATGTGTTTGGTGTGGCCATCAATGGGCTCTCCTCCTTCTCCGCTGTAGGGAGTGAAAAAAGCTTTTTAGAGGGATACTCGGGGGTGGTTTGGGCCATTATAGCAGGGCAGGCAGCTAACGGACTCCTGATGTCTGTGGTGCTCAAGCACGGCAGCGGGATCACCAGACTGTTTGTCATTTCCTGCTCCATGCTGGTTAATGCTCTGTTGTCTTGGGTCATCTTAGGGCTGCAGCTAACACCTTTTTTCCTCCTTCCCGTTTCTATGATTGGACTGGCAGCTTACCTTTACTACAGATAGTAAAGTCTCCACCACACGAACCACAAGGCCCACTGAACCCAAAATGTTGCAGTCTACTTAAACTTCTGTATTCTAGTTTTAAAAGTTTTAGATGTGATTTGTTTTCTGCCTTTGTATCCATCTGCCTTCTGACTTCGACATCTGGACTTGTATTTACCATATAGCATATTATGTGTCATGTCAGCTGATGCCTAATTTTACAATTCATATTTAAGACTTGTGTAATTCTGTTACACTGTACAATTCAAATAATAATGCAAGTGTGGATTATTATACCTTCAGTGATATATTTCTGAAGAGTGCTGCTATTGTCATCTCAGTGATTTTGTTTTGTATCGCATCCTCTGCCAAGAACGTCAAAGTTAATATCAAAGTGTTACATAGTGTGTTAATGATAACCAATAAATTGTCAAGAACAGTTTTATTTCTCATGATTTACATTAAGCAAACAGATTCATAAACATTGTTTAGTCATTGTTGTTGAGATAGCAGTTCAGTCTTAGGATCACCTCGCACAGATAGAGTATCCTTTAACTCTCCCAGTGCTGTCAAAGGAAAAATAAGAATGTTTAAAAGCTGGTGGGAGGAAGAATCATCTCTTGGCATCCCTGTCACATTTAACTTCAGAGGTTAGGGTAAACTCTATCTGTAATAAAACAGCCAGTCTGGTAGAAGTTAAGCAACATACGCTGACCTTTACGGAGTTGTTTGTTGTCAGCCTGCAGCTGCTGGTTCTGGGCAGACAGGTAGACGGCATCCTGCACAGCCTCCAGCAGCACACTTCTGTATCTGCCCTCTGACATCTTCCTCTGCTCCTCGCTTACCTGATGAAACACTCTGAATACCTAGAGAGCAGCAAAACAGACAACATAGAAAAACAAACTGGGAAAAGCACAGGTGACTCATGCAAACACATTTACTTCTTGCATGTAGACCGAAACGCCTATACATCCATTTCTAAAAGACACTAGTAAAAAATGGTAAACTAATGAAATGAAAATGTGACATAATTATTTGAATCATTGTACTCTCACAGAGTCAACAAACCCTCACCTGCAGGCTCTCTTCTCTTAGACAATGCAGCTCTGTTTGGTGTCTGTGGTATTGATTCTGCAGGTCTGTCTCAGCCTGCTGGGCCTCAGCGCGCAGGGCCTCCATCTGCAGCACCAGGATGTGCCTCTCTCTGGTTAGCACCAGCAGCTCTCTCTGGGAGCCTTCCGTCTAGCAGGGGAATGGATAAAACCATAAAAGATGCAAGGAAATAACAGAATTAAGTTGCAAATGCAGTGGTTTCCACTGCCCACGATAAATCCAGCCTTGCATTAATTTAGACTGACTCAGCATTCTCAGCTAAGATAGATCACAAACTGAATAATGTTAAACAACAGTGCATCTCATTATCTCACCGGTAGCTGTTCCTGTGCCAACTCTCTCTCCATCTTCTCCACCTCCTCCTGAATTAATCTCCCACGGTCCTCCTTAAGTTGCCTCCTCCGTTCTTGTGCTTTGTTGTATTCCAACTGAGACTGAGCATTAAATTGGCAAGATAAAATAAATGTCTTAGTGCGGCTTGCCCACTCTCACATACAAATCTTATTTATATGTTTAATAGGATATTCACAAAGCCTTGTAAACACATTATCCAATCGGATGTATAGGTGTGCAGTATTATACTTAAAATGGCAGGGCTTAGATGGATTGTGTTACTTGTTGGCAGAGGTCAGATTTCTCTGTAGCAGCCCCGTTCTTCAGTGTCTCCTCTCTGAGAGCCTCCCTTAGCTCCTGGATTCTTGCTACTCTTTCCTGGACTTTCTCTACATTTCCTTTACCCTCTGTGGATGTAATAAACACATATCAGTGATGCCACTGACAGAAAAGTTGACACATTTTTCACATCACAGCAAATTACCTCTGATATGTTCTTCCATTTCTTGTTTCAGCTGGTCTTGTAAATATTTCATTGTGTCTGTACCCTCACTATTATCGCTGCTGTGCCAATTGCTGTTTGGGGTCCGACAACTCTGCCAAATCAGTGCAAAATACAGTGATTATTATGTTCGGAAAAACACACAATTTGTTCTCATTTTGCTTAATCTGTGTGGAAGAGTAAATAATTTATGTAGAAACCTGTGTTTTCCCTTTTATCTTCTTTGACTCTTCCCTCCTCTTCTCCCATGACTGATTTTTCACAATCTGTTGGAGAGATCACAGAAATTATTTGAGCTCTGACCTCCAATTAGTCCCTGCTGAAGATGGCGAAAAAGCACTATTTAGTATTAGGCTCATCTAATGAATTACCTGGAGGTTTTGGGTCAGCTCTGCTAGCCTGTAGGTGTTGTGAACTTCATCTTCCCCCTGTGACATCATCCTGGTTCTTATCGCAGTGATGTTATCTCTGATCTCTTGCTCAGTTGCCCTTGGACACCAGCGAATGGCGGTGGCCTTCGTCACCAAACTTCTCGCTTTCTGGGCCAAAGCTAAAGCAGAGGGGGTTTCATCATCTAGAAGACCTGGTGCATAAAGAGAGTCATTGTTATGCTCAAATAATCTAGTTAAGTTAGTGTTAGTGAGGCCCAGAGGACCACTTACCTTGAGGCTGGATGCAGTAAATAAGGACCGTCCTACTGTTTCCTGTTAAGGCATCGTTTAGGAGGATGTGGAGCAGTTTGTCGCTTGTTGTGGCTTCACATTGGATTCGGTCCACAACCTTCATCAGTGGGTTGACTCTGGAGAGTATTCAACCATTAACATACTAACACCACATACTAATAAATACAATGTGTATACTAATCTTGACAATATCCTATTTTTTTCTGGTAGTGTACAACAAAATCAACATACTTTACTGTTGCAATATTCAAGCTGCAACTTTAAAACTGCCACTGCTAATTAAAGAGTCAGCAAAATGTTTTTCCAAAATGTCAATAGTTCTTTTTCTGTTTTGTGAGGTGTTACTGGAACTGTTCCACATCCACAAACAATTAAAGTGGATATAAAACTTGACTGAAATAAAGTCCTGCCATGGACACAGGAAGCAAATGATGTCTTCATTGTTAATCAGTCTCAAGTGACAGTCCTTTTTTACAGCAGGCATTTTAACTTATGGTAGGAAAAGCACTAGTCTTATGAATGACATCTGTTCTCGTCAAATGTCCCAGTAAGTCATGACAGTATGCCAGTGAGGCAGCATGCACAAACTAGGACCCTGAAACTGAAGCAGCTGAAAGGAATTCAGCCAGCTTTAATTACACCTGTGCTTTTCTTACTGTGACAAAAAGGCCTGTTGTTTCCTGTTGTTTCTATCTTCTCTCTATTCTATCTTTCAAGGAAATACTGAACAAGGGTTTATATGTTGTCACTTTATATATATATACTTTCAATCGTTGTAACTGACGCTTTCTTACTGCTTAAAAGCATTTCCTCCTCCAGCGAAAGCCTTTTAATTAACCAGAAAGGTGGTGAATGGACGGTTCAACCCCTTCCCTTCTTCGTCCTGAATAATCCTGTGACTGATGGCTGGCCACAGTCAGAACAGTGCTTTAACACTAAAGGACATTAGGACGTGATTTTTAGTTCCCCTGGCTGTAATAGATAGCTCACAGTATATGAGTGAATGACCAACCCTCTGAGGTCAGTCTGGCTGGCTCCTCCTGCCAGGCTGAACAGCTGCAGTCGGCTGCAGCCCACCTCTGACTCCACTTCCTCTGGAAGAAGTTTCCACTCAACAGCCACTGAGAACAGGGAACTGCATCTGAGGGAAGTACAGAACATGAAAATGCAGAGACAATAACAACATTCATTCAGTACAGCCGGGATAAATCTGACAGATGACAATCCAATCACTCATGCGACTGTAAGACATTTAGCCTATTGTGATCAGCCACTGTAATTAATCCATTCAAAGCAATTAAGTTAATGGGTTACTTGGCCAGAGTTTATTCGACCTACCTGCTGGAAATGGAGCCTGCATTGGCTTTCAGTGTTTCCTTGCATGTTTCATACAAGGTAAAGGCTTCTTCTGCTGAACACACACACACCTCGCATAAACCTCCTACAAGACTGAGAAAAAAAAAACTTTGGTTTACATTTCATTCACTTAAATGTACAGATTTTGAATGGATAAGCCATTTCAATATGCATTTGTTAGTTACTGGATCTATCTTGATGTATCAGTGGTCATCATCTGGACTCACCTCCCAAGAGCGGGGTGTGTCACAGGTTTTAGTGTCTGTCTACCAGGGTTCAGGAGATCCACAGCACTGCCATCTGGATAAAACTGTCATTGACAAACATCAGAAGAAATCCTCCTCCATACTTTGTCTAATATGATTCGTGGTTATGCTTTATTATACGGAAGGACAAACCTGAATGAATGACACAGAGATGAACAAGTCCTCTTTCATCTGTGACAACATATGACTAAACAGATTTTCCAAGACCTAAGATAGAGTGAGGAGTAAGATTAATAATGACAAAGCATGAAACTCAATAATATTCAGTGTATGATTGTTTTGGGCTCCACCTGTTTTATGATACTTTGATCAATCAGAAAGCTAATCTTCTCTGTGGAGGCTCCACATATCAGCAGCGCTCCATTATAACCACTTGATATGGACTCAGTGAGAGGCTGCAGGAGCTCAGGGTGGAAACTCTGCAGGTTTATATTCAGACTTTAGTTTACCAGTATTTGTTACTATAGCTCAAATGCAATAGTCAAAAGCTCTTCTGTACCTGGATGTTGTCAACAGTCGCAACTTGGTCAAAAGAGAAGGACTTTGCTTCCTGATTGGAAAACAGATTACAACAGCCTGAGCTTTCAGAAACAAATTTCTGAATGTTGATTGAAGGTGTGAGTGAATTCAAATTGTTTACCTCATCCTTTTGTGATTTGTAGTCCACACCACGCCCTTCTTCACCAATGTATACACACTCTTTGCCCTCTGCGCATAAAAAAACACACATTTAAACACAAATCTACAGCAACAGCATAGCATAACATACAGATTTGACATTTCTGTCCTTCCTTTACCTTCGACTGTTGTAAGTACAACTCCAACTCTTACTCTTTCAGCTCCCTCACACAACTGGAGAAACATGGAAGTTGGTCAAGTTTTTCTGTTTTAATTGCTACTAACGTGGTTGTAAAAAGAAGGTACTTACAGCTGCGTTCATGTCGACAGTGGCGATCCCATACGTTCCTGTACCACAGCCACTGGGTCACCTGGATTCTATTACACCTTGCTGAAATATTAATGAGCCAGAATCTACTTTCACTTATTCAGGTGATCGGGGTGCAGTTACCAAGAGGGACAGAGAGGTCAGGTTGTCGATTACACATTTTTATTGTATTCTTTTGGATTATATAACAAAGAGATCAGAGTGATATCATATTACAAGTATAGTATAGTGAAAAGTAAGTTTAATTTGATCATTCACTTTAAATCATGTAGATATACAAAGATTCTGCAATATTAATCAATGGTGAGATAAAAACTGTGACAGTGTTTTTTGGAACTGATTTGTCCTCTATTTTACATTTTATTACCCACAAAGGAACCAGGTTCTAATAAGGCATCCATTAAAAGGGGGTTGTAAGTTGTAACTAATGACTTTATTATTGGTTAATAAAATTAATATCAATTAACAGTTACTGGTTTGATCATTTATAAGGCTTTATGGATCAGTTATAAAAGCACATTTGAGATGCCAGGTTGTGAAAATCCTTTTGCCTGCTTCCATATCACCGGACATCAGAGCAGCCTATTCCTTCAGGCTGTGAGACTTGTACCATAAAAGGGAAGTACAGCTTAGTCTAGTTAACCCTGTGCTGTAAAATGATAAATAAATCTACCTTGTAATCTTGTTTATCATTTCTATTTAATTTAGTGCAGTTATACATGTTGGTAATCCATTAATAAATGTCCAATTTATTGTCAACAAATTGATTTTGGTTCAGATCGTCTGCACCCCTCTGGAAAAGTAATGCGGAATGCAATCCATTCAGTCAAAGGGATTTTTCACAACCTGGCAAAAAGTTGTTATTAACAATATCTGATAACTGATATAAGGTTTAGTAACTAATTCATTAACTAAATAAATCCATTAGTTAAACCCTTTATAAAGGGTAGATTAGAAAGTGGTTCCCAAACAAGAATCCGGTCTGCTGGAAAGATCAACAAAAATAAATCAGACATGACGATAAACCTACAAAGAGCGTCAACCAGAGAGGAGAGCCATGATGTTGGGTTCCGCTGGTCAGCTTCACACATGGTTCAGGAAAAAAATTCATTATCTGAGTCCCTTGCTGGGCCAGTGGTGTAGCACACAGAAAGTCTTCAGGGTAGTCCTCCACAGATACACTCTCTGTGCTCTCCAGGAAGGTGATGGTCTCTTTTAGGGCACAGTCACACTGATATGGGTTCCTCCCTGCATGGAGAGTATCAAGCTGTTCCAGTGTGCTCAAATTGACATCCATCTCTGTTATCAAGACGGTAAGCCGGTTATTGTCCACCTTTAGCACCTGAAGATGAGATAGGTTATCCAGAGAAGGGAGACGTATGAGGCGGTTATTAGACAAAAACAGCTTCTTCAGGGTCTGTGGTGGGTCATGGAATACCTCCAGAGAATTATAACTTAGATCAAGTTCTTCCAGAGATGCAGAGGTTAACGAGTTAACCTCTGTGATTCCTGAGTGGGAGAGATTGAGCATCCTGAGCGGCTTCACCTGGAAACACTGTGGGAAGTGGAGGATGGAGAAATTGTTCCTGCTGACATCAAGTTGCGTGAGGGTGGGGGTGAGACTCAGGAGCGTGCAGAGAGACTGGAGGGAGGTGAGGTTGCTGTGCCTCAGATGAAGGGATTTCAGGTACTTGAATGAAAGAGAGGCGCAATGAGAGATATTCTGTAGGCTAGTGTAAGATATGGGGTTCTCTGACAGATCTAGATGAGTCAGGTTTTCTACTCTTTGAGCCCAGATGCAGTCAGTCTCAACTAGTCCAGAACGAACAAGGCCAAGAGATTTCAGGGAACCAAACAACCAGCGGTGAAGAGCCTGGAAGGAGGGCTGTAGGAGAGAGGGGTCCACTGTTGTGTCTTCCAGGTAGAGGGTTTTGATTCTAGATGCTTCCAGTAACACTGGAGGCTGTAAAGGCTGGACAACTTCCAGAGTGGAAGAAATGATGTGAATTTCGTTTAAATGCGTTGGCAGAAATGGGATCACTGCACTGATGAACGAAACGGAGATGGTGACATTGTTGAAAATGAGTTTATTTATCTGGATCAGCTGAAAAACAAGAGCTAGTTCTGAGACCGGCATCTCAGATACCTCCAGTGTGCCATCTCTCAGCTCCAGCTCCAAAACTTCAAGACACATCAAATTGTCTGGGTTAAGGATATCCATACTGTTGCACACACAACGACGAGCCCCATCCTCACTAAAAAAGCACGAAGAAGTGGCCGCTGAAGTGACAGTAAGTCCCAAAAGCAGGAGCAGAGTCAGCCTCTGATTCAGTGCCATGGTAAGCAGAAAGACTGACAGCAAAATCTGAAAATGTCAAGATCCAAAAAAGAAATTTATATATGAAGATAAGGAAATAGAACCAAACTTTATTTTTAATCACAAATGGCATCCTAGTAACATTAAAAAATATTAAAAGGCTTTAAATTTTACCTTCTGGTCCTAAAAATACACGAATTTAACAATGACTCTTCAAGTCAAGTACTTACCCTCTATCTTAGCTGTAAATGTTGAGGATTTGTTGCAAGAACTGTTGGCTACTGGAAGTTCAGCCTATTTATTCTCATTTGTGTTTTTCTTCCCTTCTTGTTTTTAGGACCTCTAAAAAAAAAAAAATAGGAAGGACAATAATCTTCTCGGATATACAGTTCCTCAAAGTAAAATTAAAATTTCCAAAATAATCATCACCATGGAGATAGATTAGTCAGCAACTCTCCAGTGATTAAAATTATCCTTGCGGATATGTAACCCACAAGAATATGAAGCAATAACCTCTCCCCAACAGAGATCAGAGGCGTAGCAAGCTTTTCAAAAGTGTGGGGGATGGATGTGGTTCCTGGGGGGGGGGGACCCTAACCGAATTTAGCTAGCTGCTGAACAATATCCCAATTAGCAATTAGCATTAGTCTAAAAAACTAAATATAATACCGAAAACACTCGACATGTCAACAAAACATAAACAGAACATCTTCCCAAACACATATCAAGCTTATTTAAAAACTTCAAAAGCAGAAACACTCATTCAAAGTACCTGGAAAAGGGAGATGTAAATACCCATAACTTCTTCTCCCACGGTTTCACCAACAATGAGGCTCAGAGCTCCACCCCGCCCGCCACTGTGTGTATTACAAATCAAATCAGGCGATCGCTTAATAAAAGGATCAACAGTTGGGTGGATACATCTTTATATGTCTATGGGTGGATATTTGCAGGTGATGGTGTGAACTATGAACCTAGCTAGTTCCCGCCTCCTCAGCACGAGCTGAACGATAAATCTAACACACCAAGAGAGGCAGAACCTGTATATATGTCTACTATGGGCAGAATCATCAGCCGGTGAAACTCAAAGCCGGTGTCATGTTTGAGGCAACAACAGGAGAGGGAGGGGGAGAGGAGGCAGCCGCAGCGAGCGCAGACACAGAGCGGCCAGAGAAACGGAGCGACTGTAGTAAGGCGTTTGTGCAAAACTGCGGAAAAACTGCAGAAAAAGTGTGGGTGCGACGCCCCTGACAGAGATGCTCTACCCAGCAGCTCCGAGGACTGTGAAAACACCACAAAGGAGCTCCACTACATCTGGCCAACAGATTCAGTTACTAGTTATTTTTCAGATATCAAATTTCCATGCCCTCCCTGTCCAGTAAAAATTATGTATCTCCAAATTATCCTACTTCTTATGCTAAAAAAACTATTTAAAAAGCCTTTTGGATTAACAGGAACAGGAATTGTTTTTCTGAGCCCATAAAAAGTCGACTGATTAGAGATACATGGTTCTAAGAGGACAGCAATACTACAAACATGTGATCATCTTAAAGAATATGAGGGATTGCTGTATATTAAATTACCCAACAGAATATAAAGCAGTCAAAATGAGTATAAACGTAAACATCAAATGCAACATACACATTAAAGAAGTAATATTAATCCGAAAATATCATATATAATAGTAAAACACTGGCAGGAAAACCTTTTCTGTACAAAGAGTACTACTACTACTTCACTACTTTCACAGTAAGTTAAAGTACACTTTTCATACCTACATATAAACCACTGACAGAAATCCACCTGGTTTTCTGCTTTGTTTATCAGATTTTGTTCATTTAATTTGATGAATATTTGAAGATAAGTACAGCCTCATTTAAAATGTGCCAGCTTGTTAACTTTGCACATTTTGTGCCCGTCTCTCTTGGATAATGATCTTAGAACATGAATGAGGAGGTGAACCTGCAACATGTTTATGAAGAGGAAGTGTGTAAAATTTAATAAGTCTGGGGTGCTTCAGTGAAAAGGGAAAAACCAGAAACAAAACCATAAACAGATACCAGAAAATCCAGGACAAAGTGTCACTGCATCTAATCACGTTCAAGTTTATTTAGGCCTTATTTTGTCTATAGCTTCTACAGTTATTTGATCTCAGTAGGACATGACTTGGGTTGGACATATAACAATGCAAACAATGTGGTTAGGAAAACTTTATTTAGCCTTCTTAACACATACCTACAATACCTACACAGGAAAATCAATCCCTCATACAGTCACAGTGTCGCACACTTGTAAGGGCTGGTTCACCCCAATGAAAAATTAAAACAATTAGCTGGGTTTTCACTTGTCGTCCACGCAGCATTGAAAAACATTCCAGCAATCTCTTTCAAGAAACAGTGTCCCCATTACTTTGAATGGCCCACAGACCACACTGGCTACAGTTTTTATTGGAAATACTACCAAAGAAATAATGCCGATGAAAACTGTCCCCAGTGTGGTCTGTGGGTTATTTAGAGAAACAAGGGACACTGTTTCTGTGACTATATTGTTAAATATAATTTTTCAATGCTGTATGCACCACAAACAAACCAATCTCCTCCATTGCAGGGTTCTCGAGGCATACACCTCAGAGATGATATCTTAAAAAATGGGTAAGTAAAACCTAGTAGAGGTAAGGGGGAAATATTTAAAATGGGTGAACCGGCCCTTTAAGCATTCCTTAGACAGACATGTTTAACACACACACTTTAATATACTGCAGATGATATGAACCATCTAGGATAAAATGTCAATGAGAACACCCCAAAATCATTCCGTTTTAAAGACAAAAACTGCAAATATTAAAAGCAATAAACTGTAACAGGCCTCTATTGATTTGATTTTCAAACAGCCAGCAGAATGGTTAAAATCAAGAGAATACATGAAAGATTAACTGATTGATGGAATGAAAAAAAATTCTGCATGTGGGTCAGCATCCAGCTTAAAATGACTCATGCCTGCGAAGATTGGTGGATCAGAGAAACATCCAAGACTTTTACTGATCTGGAAAAAAGAAAAACACAGCAAGTGATGAATGATGTTTTAGCAGCCAACAACTGCTTGTCAATAAACATTGTAACTATCCACTAAAAACCCTAATTTGAAGCACTCACCATCAAAGCTGAGGGTCTTCTGCATCAGCCTGGGTGCCATCATCACGCGGCGAGGCATTGAGCCTGAAATGAACAGGAAAATAGGGCAATTAAGCTACTTTCATCATCCATGACAGCCTTGCATGTGCATGAATCATGCAGCGTTGAATCAAGTCCTTTAATCTGTCTCTTCTACCTTTCTGGCAGTCGGGGCGGCCGCGCATGGTGGTGCCCTCAATGGCTGTGCCAGTCTCATCCACACACCAGCAGTAGCCAGTGGCGTGCCAGCACTGCATGGGCTTGTAGCGGCCCTGCTCATCACACTGAGGCTTGTAGGACCCGATCTTGCTGGGTCCAGGTGCTGCCTCCATCTGGCATTTGGTCTTGATCAAAGAGGCTGAATTTAGGAAAAAGTAGAGAACGGTGGGACATTAAAAGCCTGATTGGTGTATCACTGGTGACTGCAGCGAAGTTAAAGCAGTAGTGCTGCATTTTGGGAAATGCACTTGCTTGCTTTCTTGCAGAGAGTTAAATAAAAAGTAACACTCTTGTGTCCATTAAATATCAAGCTACAGCCAGCTCAGCTGTAACACTATTACCGTGTTTGTTTAATCAGTTAAATTCACAGTGTTAGAGGGGTTATGTGCAGAATTATATCTTGGCTATGAACAATAAGTAACAATAAGTTAGAGGTGCTAGTAGGTGGATTTTGTTATCTTCAGACTCAGCCAGGCTAGCTGTTACCCCATTTCCAGTGTTTATGCTAAGATAATAAGATGTTGGCTAATATTCAAGATACACATGTGAGAGCTGGTATTGATTTCTCATGTATTTCCTCAAAAATATCTCTCTTACATCAATATCGTCACAGTTAAATATTACAGTCTTCAGACCTTAAACCCCTGACATGTAGGAAAACCAGCAACTACTGTCACCGCACCAGTCTGTCTCAGAACATCAGCAAAACATTAAAACGTAAAAGAAAGAAAGTTGCAGTAACCTGGATCAGCTGTTGGGGGCACAGGCGTCTTCTGGGCCATCTGGAAGATCAGCCAGTAACGCATCCAGGACTCAAAGCTCTGCAGAGAGCAAAATGTTGAAGAAATCAAACAGGACAGACAAGATAGTTTATTTATTTTTATCTTAGTTTTAATAGTTTCTGTGTAAATCTGTGCGCGGCTTTACCTGCCACTCGCTCTCATTGATGTGCTGCTTCAGGCTCTGCAGATTGGCCATGAAGGTCTCGTTGAACTGTGGCAGCTGGAAGTCCTGAATGAGATCCTTCACCTGTTTCTCCACACTGACAACAGTGTCTTGCAGTTTCTGATGGGAGGACACAGAGGAGCCAAATATATGAAGAATGTTTTTTTGCATTCATGTTTAAATGTATTCATTCATTATACATCATCAATATACAATATTTCAAGTCTCAAACAAGCTTGCTTTATACAGTTAAATTAACCTACAGTCAGGGGTGTCTTGGTTGCCTTGGAGTCCTCATCCGTGAAGTCCATCAGCATAGGAAGGCTGTTCATGGGCATGTGCATCCTCACTGGAGCCACCGCTGTAAAAAATAAACAAACAAAATAAGGAATTAATTAACAAAGAAAACCAAAAGAGAAAATAATTATGAGACTGCAAAAACAACTCCTAATAACAACTAATTTCTTTGGGGTATAAAATACACACAACTACCTGATTTAAAATATTGCCATTACATATTTAACATTACCCACAGAAACAACTTAAACTAAAACACATAAAACAATGAAAAGCAGGCACAAACCTAGCTTTTCATCACAGCAGCTCTGCTACACACAGTGCCAGATAATATATCAAGGTAACTCCACTGCTTGACATGATACATATAGCAAACAATCTGATTTATCCCCTCTAAGAAGCATGTAAGGGGATGAATTGTGACTTAGCAGCTAAAGGTTCATATTGTAACTGTTAATCAAAAGAACGAACAGCTTATAACAGCTTGGAATAAACTTTATTGTCCCCAAGGGACGGTTTGTCTTGGGCACAGTGCTACAATCTGTTGCCTCACAAAAACAAACACACCATCACAAACTCAGCGTGAAACATCTTAAAACATGAAAGACACCTTTGACTATACATTTTAACACCGACAATACGGCAGCTTAGAAAGAGACTGTAAGAAACTCTACGAAAGGGTTCAGAGAAGAGGGGATG